GAAATCAAGCTACGAATAGAACTGCTTAATTGTAATCAACTATATCCACATTATGGGCACGTACTAAACCATTTGATTAACAAGCCATCAAATTCACGTAGCTTGAAATTCCATGCATGCGGTAAATATTTACCTTCATGTATGTCAGACGTCCCCAAATTTCCAATTAGGATAAAGCAGTGCATTGATTTTAATATTTTAGATTTTGCAGGGGTGTTTTGTCCAATTCTTTTAAGTAGTATCTCGTCTTCTGAACGTACCAGTGGATTAAAAATGTTAGGAAAAACAATAAAAGGAAACGTCGTATATGAGTTTCGTGGAAGAAAATGGCTTTGCAAGAAAGGCGGAAACGAACTCTTGCCTGCTGATATTAAGTTAGTATTTTCAAGACATTCTTCATACTCAGAATGTAGGAATTTTGTTTCTAAATTTAAATTCAGAGATGTTTACCCTTGCACCGAATCGAAGAATACATGGCAGAATGGAATGATTATGTCCCGTCTATTTGGAGATTTGGTTTATAAACCTTCTAAAGGTGGCATTACAGTGCTTGAATACGATAAGGCCAAATCCCTCGAATACGGAACCCACCATTCCTCGCTATTGGACAGACCTATTAAAGTTATTAACAGGTGGAATTTCTCTCAGTGTGTTAGTGAAATAGAATGGGTGAAAAAATTTCTCTCTAAAATTGGCAAGAATTCGTCTGACATTATACATCTGAATTCTAATCAGTTTAATTTTGCAGGTCAAAAACTTATTTCAAAGTTTGATTTGTCCAATTATACAGAAGATGAGAACCAATTTCATGAGGAAAGACATAAAGACATGCAATTGCAAAAAATTGTTATTGGTAGGGGAGAAGCATGGTACAGGAAGATAATAGAAAATCAGCAGAAGCTTTATTTTAAATTTCATAATGACATTGAGGGAGGTGTGCGGAGTGTACTTAGAAATGACCCTAATAGTGATGTACAAATCAATGATGGGATGAAACTTGGTGGTATTGATAGATATAATTATGATAATGAGAGTATTCTGGATGAATCAACGGATGTACAATTAGATTATGATAGCCCAAATGTTTCTCACAAAAATATTGATGATCTGTCTGTGAAATTTGGAATTAGTAAAAATGAAAGGAGCCAAGCAGAATCCCAACTGAAAGTAAGTCAGGAGGATGAATTAACAGATATTGAAGATGAATCTGAATCTGATACTGCTATATTTGAAGATCCATTTAATGAAAACACCAAATTTGAATGGGAATTGCAAAGAAAAAGAGTCCCAATAGAGGAGGATATAAATAAAGTTCTTCCCCAACAGAATAACTTTAAACGGCCATGTTTGAAGCGAACAAATAAGCAGAACAATAAAAAATCTAACAAATTTGATTTTTCATTCATTGAATCTAGTTTTAATTCTTTTGAAATAAGTTTCAGAAGGAAGATCCTCGAAACTGAGGATGATCACCCAATTTTATCAATATCCGAAAATTCTTCACAGATGATGCTAGCACACCGGCAAATTAATTCCAGTAAAATCTACTTCAAATCATGTACTAGTGTAAACTCCTCCATGATTCAAAATGTATCGAACGATTTGAATAATGATCCTGCAACATGGTTTAGCTTGAAATTAAAGTCTGTAGATACCCAGTTAAATCAAGTTACAAATATCACCTAAATAGTTAGTGTATACCATATCTACTACAATTGCATGACTTTAAATTGATACATTTATTAATGATTACGGATATTATATCGTCTATTTTACAGTGTAGAAGCCATGCTTCCATATTTTGATTTTTCGAAACCTTCAAGTTATATTCCAGACAAAAAAGATTCGGTCAGAAGTAACGATTACTTTACCAAAGTAAAGCAAAGAAACTCTGATCGATGAAACCTGAAATATTTTAGTTTTCTCTCCATTGGTGGGAACATTTAACGCACTTATAAAATGTGGTCATAGGCTCATCGGCAGATCTGATTTGAAGTTGAAAAAAATATGCCTTATCACCACCACATGAGTCAATAGGACATTGTGCTAACGTCTGATCAACATTATCCCAAGCTCCTTCGCCACCTAAAACGTCATCAACTTCTTTTCTCGATAACTTCTTACGATCATACATTTGGAATCCATCGATCTTAAACTCGTAGGGACATGTCAGACAGAAAAACCTGTTACACCCATCATCTTTCTGAGCCATTATTAACATATTAGCACAATACGGACAAAAAGACAACATTTTAGGCCTTCCTTATGCTGATTATGATGCTTTTATTTACCAAGTTTGTTCTCTAGTTTTGATTTAATAATGATTCAGAGAACGAAGAGATGGTTTTTTATATACAGGAGATACATTGTCGACTTCACATACAATCATCAACACAATTTGACAACCAAGTCAGGTAACTTATCACAGAAATTCAGGATTGATTAAATGTACATGTATATATGACTTTTGAAGAGAATAGTTCACCTGAGAATAAGGGATTCAATGATTCCGACATATTTTTGACGCCTTCAAAGAAGCATGTTAGTCTCTCTGCAACACCTTCGCATCGTCAATCACCCTTTGATTTGACACTTTCACCTAATAAATCACCCAGTAAAAGAGGTGTAATAAAGTTGGAAAAAACAGCAGATGACACAGTTTTATTTTCACCAGTAAAGACTCCCAATGGCAGGGCTGGTTTACCATCGCCTAAGAAGAGAACAGTGGCAGAATTGGATAAATCGGCAAGGAAAAGGGCCATACTGACAAGTGGTATTTATTCCAAGTTGATGGATGATGATTTGGAGGATAATAAGAATGAATACCTCGACAAGCAGGAAATATCGTTGGCAGAAGCAATTATAAAAGAATCTAGAGCTAAAAAGCAGGAGGATATAGATGAATATTTTAGGGCCTACGGTAGTGATGTAGAATTGGAGGAAGATTTAACTGTCGATAAAAAGCCTAAGCGTAGAGGAAGAAAGCCTAAGAAAGAAGTAGAAATTGAAGAGGCAGATGAAATAGATGACGAAGATATCGAAATAGAAGATGATGGAGAATTAGAAGATGACGACGACGAAGAATTCAGGCTTCCAAAGAAAGAAAGGAAAGCAAAGAATAAGCGCGTATTAAATGAAGTGGATGATATAGATGATATTTCAGACGAAGATGAGGCAGACAAGGAAATTTTACCTAAAAGACAAAAGAGAACTGCGAGCCCATTTGTAGCTACACTGGGAGATGAGGCTATATCTCCTAGTAAGAGGAAAGTTGGAAGACCAAGCAAAGCAAGTAAGGTAATTGGCAAAATTAAAAGTATCTTTCAAATGGATGATGAAGCATTTTTCACGGAGAATAAACAGGCTACGAATAGAATAAAGGAAAAGGCCGACACTAGTGATGTTACTAAAGATTCGGACTCCTTCTTTTCAATGAGTTTAGATAATGTGACACAGAGCAGTATTGTTTCTGTGCCAATAGTAAGTGGTATACCGAACAATAAGGAAGGAGAAAGAAACGTAGAAGTGGCGACTGTCGATTCAAATAAATTCATTCCATTACCAATACCTAACATTAACGAGGACGGTGAAATTGAAGACGTAGAGTACGTGAAAAAATATCTACCTAATGTGAACATAGAAGAAAAGTATTCAGGTAAGCTTATCGATGAACGTGCTTTTTTCCTAGATGGAACTGAAGGTTATTTCGAACAGCATATGGGCAGACCGAAAGCGAGTGCGAACTCATTATCACAATTAGCACCGCCATTAGAATACGATGAATTTATACCATTTGTCGAGTTGAGTAAATTGATACGTTCAAAGGAGAAGAATAAACTAAACGATTTACACAAATCTTTATACCATCAATGGTGTTTTGAATTAACTTGCGGATTTAGCTTGAATTTCTATGGTGTTGGATCAAAAATTAAGTTAATTGGCGACTTTGTACAAAATTATCTTGTTGATTGGTACGAGCAAAATATGCAAGAGGATGAGGAATATCCGGATATATTAGTTGTAAATGGATATAATTCTGCGGTGAAGTTTAAGAAAGTAGCCCATGACATCTTGTCGGTATTTATCTCCCAAGAAAAAAAGAAACAAGATAATGTGAAGTTTCCGAAGCATATATCTGAAACGGTTCCATTTCTCATGAAATATATCGAGGATCGTCGAGTCTATCGACCAGGTCAATTCATTAAGCCTAAGTTGGTATTGGTTATTCACAACATCGATGGTAAACCCTTTCTTAACGAAAGAACCCAAAGTTTACTCTCACAATTATGCTCTATTCCAGAGATATGGCTAATTTCTTCTACTGACAACATAAACGTCTCGTTACTTTGGGATCTGTTCAAATTAAAAAGTTTTAACTTCTTATGGCATGATTTGACAACATACGAGCCTTATACGGTCGAAATGTCTTTTAGGGACGTATTGAGTATGGGTAAGTCAAAGAAATTCGTCGGAAACAAGGGTGCCAAGTATGTCTTGAGTTCACTTACGAAGAATGCTAGAAGTCTCTACAAGATTTTGCTCACCAAGCAGTTGGAAATTATGAGAAATACCACTACTACTAAGGCAGGTCGTAATGGCCTAAAAGGTTCTATAAAACTTGGTATCGAGTTCAAACAACTTTACAATACATGCTTAGAAGAATTTGTTACTTCAAATGAAATAAGTTTCAGAACCATGCTTGGAGAGTTCGTCGAACACAAGATGTGTAGTGCCGTTAAAGATGAAGCTGGTGTGGAAATGGTATTCGTCCCCTTCAACTTCGACGAAATGGAAAAATTGCTTGCCGAAGAATTTGCGTCTAATGAAATGTAAATATATGATCGATATGTACACGTGATTGTAGAAATGTTGAATGTGCGTACTCACCAAAATAGACAACACCCTAAACCAGGCTAAGCTTTCTATCATATATAATATCATTATCGACGTTCATATTACTTCTATAGACTTCAATTAACAACATTATAGATAGTAGTAGTATGGGGAATTTTCCGAAACTTCCCGAAGGAACACAGCTTCCTGTGGGAGGCCATCAAGTAACAATTCTTAAGTATCTTTCGGAAGGAGGGTTTGCACATATTTACAAAGTAAAAATTGATCCTAAGGAGGAAGATACAGATATTGCTTGCTTGAAGAGAGTTATAGTACCAGATAAGAATGGATTAAATCAATTAAGAAAAGAAGTTGATGTCATGAAAAACTTGCGTTATGGCAGGAATATAGTGAAATACTACGATTCGCATGCAGAAAGGTTAGAGAATGGAACGTACCAAGTATTGGTACTTATGGAGCTTTGTCCTAACAAGTCTTTGTTGGACTATATGAATGCTAAAATCAAGACCAAACTAACTGAACCAGAAATCTTGAAAATTATGCTGGACATATCAATTGGTATATACGAAATGCATAAGATGAAATTGGTTCATAGGGATATTAAGATTGAAAATGTTCTTATTGATGCCAGAAATGATTTCAAGTTATGTGATTTTGGGTCTACTTCCTCGCCAATAATGCCACCAAAAGATCAACAGCAATTCCAACTTCTAAGTCATGATATAATGTATCAGACTACACCCCAGTATAGGGCACCAGAGATGATAGATTTGTATAGAGGATTTCCTATTGATGAGAAAGCAGATATTTGGGCATTGGGATGCTTTTTATATAAGTTATGTTATTATACTACTCCGTTCGAGGCGAATGGCGATATTGCTATCCTTCATGCAACTTTTCAATTTTTACCAGCACCCGTTTTCTCTGGTGACTTGAAAAACTTGATCATCATCATGCTCCAGGAGAATCCACTCTTCAGACCTAATATTGTTCAAGTTTTGATGTTATTATGCACAATGATGAAAATTGAATTTAAGAGTCTCAAACTAGAGGACATATATAATACTGGATCATATAATTTCCATGCGTTACATGAGTATCAACGCCACAAGCAAAATGAGCTTCTCAAACAGCAACAATTATACTATCAACAGAATGCATATGCGAATGGAGGTAAAGCTACCTCGGAGGTTAATTTAGCGAAGCAATATGGTAATCACATAAGACTGCAAACACAATCTCCATTTATCCGTTCTCAAGGAGGTACACCATCGCAAGCATATGGCCAATTGAATATCTCAAATACGGCTGATTTGCAACATCAAACACAAGCTGAGATACCAGCCGCGATATCCCACGATTTAGAGCCTCAAAAGAATAAACAAGAAGCCGGAGTAATTCTGCCTACTAATGAGGTTAATACTGACACGGAAGATGATAATACAAGTGAAATAGCACTAGAAAATTTGGATAATGTCGAAGAGAGATATCCTTCCCTTGAGGACCTTTTGGAAGACCCAACTAAGAGAAGTAAGTCAATAGATTCAGATCGTGTTAGCCAAAAGGAGAATGATTCACCCAATTTACCTAACCAGAGTATTAGACAACCGAATATGCAGAATTATGCCTCTCAGGTTCCTACACAGCCAGTTATATTAAGTAATGCTGATCTTCAAAAATTGACACCAGATCAATTTCAACAATATCATTACCAGCACCAAGCTTATCAATATCAGCTTGATCAATATCAGAAACAATTATACCAACAAAATGAACAACAAAAACATCAGCAGCAAGCAATTCCTAATAATATAGACCATAATATAACAACAGGAAAGTCAAAGGAACCATCTGAATTTGAGAAAAAGGAGGCATGGGAGAGTCATCATTCTAAGATTGAAAAAGATGCAGAGCTATTGGTTGACGATATATTCGCAACAAATTCCAAATCTCCAGCCTTAGTACCTGTGCAAGGTCAAAATACCAACCAAAGTGCAAAGGTCGATATCGATTCATTGTCCAAGTTGCAGAAAAGTGTATCATCTGAATATCCTTCAACAAGCTTAGATGAACATAAACAGGATGGAGAAACTCGTGGAGAAAATGGTATAGAACCATCTATCGATGCGCATAATGAACAAGATGCGGCTGGGGTTTTCAATGATGAAGGGAAAGAAACCAATAGTAGAAGTAGACATTCATTGGATGATCATAATTTAAGACCTGAGGTGGTACAAGACCAGCGTGATGTGTTTATTAATGATGCATCTAATAAAGTTAATGATGTTGATTCTTTTGAAAGTTTTTCTGGAAAATACCCAGATATACTTAGTAACATGCACAATGATGCCCCATTTAACAACAGTCCTCAAACACAGGTAAGCAACAATCTGAATATGCCGTCAACGAATTCCAGTTCTACTGCGACAAAGTACCCTTTTACCTATCAGCAACCTTTACAACAGCATGTCGCATATTCAAACCCGAGACCCGAAGTTAATGCCACTAAAGGTGATATTAGGAAGCATGCAAATCCATGGGGCGACTATACCAAGAATACTAATGTAGCACCAGTCAGAAGAGTGTCTTCTCACTCGGGAATAGTCAATTCGCAACCTGCATCAATTAGTAATGAACCAGCATCTATAATTCCTGTTCATGAACAAATGAATGCATTGTCTTTGAAAGAAAGACCTAATAGCATACAGCAAAAGGGTAATTCAAATGAACAATCCTCGGAAGCTAATTTGATTGATTTAGAGGTTGGATTAGAATCGTCTAGCTCATCCACTAATACACCAATTCTTAAGCCTAAAACGAAGGATTTATATAAATTGAATACGGAGTCATCTTTGTCTGGTTTCGAGCTTGATGATGAAAAGAAACCATCAGAGCCCAAGCATCAGTTCAAGAAAAGACTTTCCTCAGCGCAAAATCCATCCAACTTCAGCTTTCAAGAAGAAGTCATCGATTTTNCATCCGATGATGAAAATCCGGAGAACAGTTCTGAAATGAACAGGTTATCTATAAGAAATTCTTTATCAAAGAAGCCAAAATCTAGGAAATCTAGTGAACACAAGAGATCTGATAGTGCCAACAGCGAGGGCAAAAAGAGATTATCATTATTTGGTTCTTCACAGGGTAATTAATGCCCTAAGATTTGTATAAAACTCGTATACATATTTATGTAGAGCTTTGCATTTTAGATGTTCTCAATTACATATACAATCATATATTTCATACTAATATTGTCGCATCGATTAAAAAAAAAATTTAGCGGACTGAATTGTTTTCAACTCTTTCTAGAATAGAGAGTATAAACAAACAACTTGATATAAGAAGATATGTCATCGGAGAAATATTTGAGATCTGTTTTGTCTCAATTGGTTCTATCTATTTCGGCAGAGAAATTTAATGTTCCATCTGAAATAAATTCTGATTTACAGCCAGTGACAAATTCCATACTTTATATACTTAAAGGTGATTCTTCGAAATTAATACATGAACAAGATTATTATTCGTTGTTATTTACTGAGACTTCAAAGAAAATTTTAGAAAGCTTCCCAAGTAATGATTTATACACTGTTTTAAATGAATTTCTTCATGAAGTAATCAATAATTTTGAACAAAGATTTCAAAGAGAAACTATCAGCAACCTTCATTTACAAATAATTGCTATTGCATTATTGCAAACATTTATACAATTAAACTTTACAGGGCCAGGTATTGAGTTTAATTCGCAACAATTATTCTTTCCCGGAGTTGATGAAAAAATAGTGCAATTGGAATCAATTAAGTTAATCAATATAGAAGGTGAACAAGCTTACGATTTGATGGTAGATCCGTTGTTCTTTATTATTTCATGCTTATTATTTGAGAAGTTAATGCAAGTTGATTCTAGGTTATCTTTAGTGAATAAAACTCTGTTGGCACCACTTGAAGAATTTATTGAAGCAACAGGAAACAAATGCAATGCAAGTCCAGATGATCCAGTAAAGGCGTCACTTCAATGGTGGAGATCTAGGGCATTACAGGTGCATTTATCTTTAATTTCAGAACCCGCAAGCGTTTTGTCAAGCATTTCGTCATTATTATTAAATCCATCTGTTGCTAATGCATTAGCACCTGCAATCGATGATAACTTGGAATTAAAAAAGCATATTCAATTAGTATACTTTTTAGAATGTGCAAGGAGTGGAATACATAGTCAAACAGAGCATCTTGCTATACCATTATTAGGGAAGGCCCGTAAACTTTCAGAATTGAACTTTGTGATATCGGGTGCTAAAGCAAAAAGAACCAAGTTTCAAACGTTTCACACTTCAGCTTTGATCATTTTGGCCAAGAGTAAAAAATCAACCTTATTTGATAACGAAAATGATAATCCAGAGACTTTCGGTTTGGAATCAGACTTGTTACTAGAAAAACCTCAATTCGAATCATTAGACGACCTCGAACTTCAAGACGAACCTAATTCCAAGAGGATTAAAATTGATGAAATATCTACTGTAAATGACAATGAAGGGGATGAAGAAAAGTTGTTACCGATGGCAATGAGACAGGATGATATACCTGATGAATTGAGGGCATTAGATCCAAACGAGCAGCCGGCTTTGAATGATTTGGATAGTGTTCAATTGTTATTGAGATTAACCACTTTAAGACAAACTACTCCATCCAATAATCCCTTGGTCGAAGAAGAGTTATTAGCATTAGCTAGTAGAATTTTATATGCTTCATCTAAGAGTGTTAATTGGAGTATATTTTCACGAGCTTTGTGGGAAAGATCGATCCTTGAAACTGCTAAAGCCAGGACCATCGAAAGAGGTATATTACAAATGACATCATTAGTGGAAGAAATTGGTATTAAAGTTAAAACCAGAATTATCCCACAAGCAATCGAAGAAGGCAATGAAGAAAGGGGTTCTGCCGCTGCATCCAGATTAAGATTTATACACCAATTACCATTAATGCCACAATGGGCAATGGATATGAGGTTAGCAGAGAAGTATATGTCCATTGGTGTTCTCAGATCGGCTGTTGAAATTTATGAAAGATTACAATTATCTTGTGAAACTGCATTATGTTATGCCGCAGCTGATGAAGAAAAAGAAGCAGAAAGGATTATATTGGAAAGAATCAACTCTCATCCAGAAGATGCAAGAGCTGTCTCAATTCTAGGAGATATAAGACAAGACCCAAGCTTATGGATGAAAGCATGGGAAATTGGAAAATATTCGAAGGCTAAAGCTTCTTTATCACGTTATTTCTATAATCCACCGCAAAGTTCAGGACTTACGAAAGATCTTGAACAGGCTATTAAACATATGAACGACTGTTTGACAGCGAATCCATTGAACTACGAACACTGGTTCTTTTATGGGTGTTGTGGGTTAGAATCACAGCAATATGAAGTGGCTGCTGAGGCTTTCACGAGGTGCGTAGCTTTAGATGATACTAATTCTCACGCTTGGTCCAATCTTGCAAGTGCTTTGTTGAGAACCGACAAAATTAGACCTGCTTTGAATGCCTTGAAGAAGGCAATTAGATGTGCTGGTGAATCCAATAAGTCTTGGAGAATATATGAAAATTATTTAATTGTTGCAGCAAAATTGAATGAATGGAATGATGTATTGATTGCTGCTAGGGAGTTAATAGATATCAGAGGTAAATCCGACGGAGAAGGCTCAATCGATATTCCAATAATAGAGAAGTTGGTAGAGATCTTGGTGGCAACGGAATATCCATCTACTGAAGACGCAAGATTTACCCATTACCAGAAGTCTTGTATTGACCTTGTTTGTAACATATTACCTTCAGTAATCACAAAGTCTGCCAGATGTTGGAGAATTGTGGCGAGGGTCGAATTATGGAGACAAAAGCCGTGGGCTGCTCTTGAATGCCATGAAAAAGCATACAGAGCGTTAAGCCATAGACCGGAATTAGAGACTGACGAGGCTGCTTGGAATGAAGCCATCGATTCTTGCTCTGATTTAGTTGCTGCGTATGAGTCTCTTGGTGAGTTACCAGGAAAACACGATGCTGGAGATTTGGTATGTAAAGACTGGAAATACAAAGCAAAATCGACTGTGAGATCGTTAATGTCTAAAGGGAAGGCTATGTGGGAAGATTCTGAAGGATGGTACAGATTACAAGATATGAAAGAACAATTGTTAAATAATTGATAATTTACAAATGTCAATATTCATGCAAATAGAACCTTATAGAATATTTATATCACTAGTATATAACTAATGTATAACTAGTATATATGTACAGATATCAATTGCAGCCATTGTAAGAATAGAGAACTGCCGCGCACGACAGAATATGAACAAATCATCAACAAAAATGATAAAATCGCGTATCAAACTTCTAGATTTATACTCGAGTTACTCGGTTTAGAGTTAGTTACAGCCATTATACGTAAGATTAACCAAGCATTAAGCTTAAATATAAAGAATTTCTCTGTGTTTCTATTGAATTTCATATACGATCGTTGCATAATAACAAAAAATGGTTGATGATAAATATATTGGATTGGCCTTGGCTATGTCGTCGTCTTTAGCGATAGGGACATCGTTTATCATTACAAAGAAAGGGTTAATCGATGCATCTGCAAGGAATGGAAGTACGCAAGTTCAAGGACATGAATATTTACAGAATCCTATTTGGTGGGCTGGTATGATCACCATGGCTATTGGAGAAGTAGCCAACTTTGCGGCGTACACATTTGCTCCTGCTATTTTAGTTACACCGTTAGGTGCGTTATCGGTCATTATTGGGGCTGTTTTGGCAGCTGTTTTCTTGAAAGAAGAGCTTGGGACATTAGGGAAGATGGGGTGTGCTATTTGTTTGATGGGGTCGGTTATTATTGTTCTTCATGCTCCACCAGACAAAGAAATTGAAACTGTTGATGAAATATTGGGTTATGCTACGAAACCGGGATTTTTATTCTACTGTTTCTTGGTGACACTTTATTCGTTATTCATGATATACAAGATTGTTCCTCAATACGGCCATACCAACCCTATGATTTACATCTCAATTTGTTCTTCTGTTGGTTCCATTTCGGTCATGTCTATCAAGGCCTTTGGTATTGCCTTAAAATTAACTTTGGGTGGCCATAATCAGTTCACTTATGTTTCCACCTACTTGTTTATTGCTGTTGTGGTGTTGTGTATCTTGACACAGATGAATTATTTCAATAAGGCTTTGGATCAATTTGATACCTCGATTGTCAACCCATTATACTACGTTACCTTTACCACTTTCACTTTAGCGGCATCCTTTATATTATTTAGAGGATTCAATACTACCTCAGCCATTAACATTATTTCATTATTAATCGGGTTTTTGATTATATTCAGTGGGGTTTATTTATTAAATATTTCTAGAAAGAATAACGATGGAAAAGACAATAGAGAAATATTTGGTGTTCACAATGGAAAAGAAATGGCACCTTTAGACAATGGAGTTGGTGGATTTTCGTCGATGAGAAGATCATTACAAGTTAACAGACAAGATTATAATGAAGAAGAAACAGTAGGATTAAGAAGGTTTGACAGCTTTGAATTAGGCAGTGACGAAGACTCACAAGATTATCATCAAAGAACATGAGAGGTGGTTGACAATTGAAATTATAATTATAGGATTAATTCGATTAAATTATGTTTATAGATTTGCTTATGCAAAACTTATTTTTGGAATTATATGTAGGTATGTGATAATATCAAACAATACAATTTATAGTATACAAGGGATTATATTATCAATATATTGTTGGTGAATAAATAACTAAATTCAAACTATAAAATACAATGTATAGGAACCATTAATGCGCAACTCTACTTAAATATCATCAATATCCAAATCTTCACCTTCTTCTTCATCACTGTCTTCAGCACCAAATTCGAAATTGACATCTTCATCTTCGTCGGCACCAAATGTATCGGTTTCATTAATTTTAGCATTTTCTGGCAATTCACCAACATTCTTCAACGTTCTGGCTTCATCAGAATTGTATTTGTGGATAACATCACATTGGTCGTCTTGGAAATCTCTCAAAGAAACTAAAATAATATCACCTTGGGACATCCAGACCTTCTTTCTTAATTTACCTCTAATGTGACCCATTCTCTTTTCGCCATCGAAACACGAGACTTCGATTCTACCATTACCTAACATCTTGGTGATTTGAGCGTATTCTTGACCTTCATCCTTGTAGATTAATTCTCTCTTTTGACCGCCGTTATCATTCTTACCTCTTCTTCTATTCTTACCACCTTTACCTTTACCAGTTTTACCCATTTTGAATTCGTGTAAGGTTTTTAATTAGGAAAAGAAGGAAAATAGTAAGATACTATTCATAGTTTGAAAATTTTAATGGCCACCAAATGATTATATAAGCATGACATAATCTTTTAAATATGAAAAGTCATTAGCCAGACTATAGTAAAGATATAAAGGATCTTTATTACTTTACATAATAACTGCATTAAATGGATTCATTCGAAGCTAGTACGCAATTCACACAAATCCTTAAGGGGTTGACACCTTCTATTCAAAATTTGACTAGAGCAGCACACTTTGCATTAAAAAATTCAGAAAGTGAAGATTATTTGTTCCATACGATCATAGACACCTTAGATGACCCAAACATAGAGCTAAACACCAAGTCCACGATTTTCCAATTTATAGAGGTATTAATGCATGAATCATTGGTTATATCACTGCAACCAAAATCCCACTATACGTATCCGTATGTACACAACTTGAAAAATTCTCTACCCAAAATTTTACTCAAGGTGTTACCTGGGTCAAACAATTCAAGTTTATACAACGCCTATAATAGCTTAAGGAATATATCAGAAACTTGTAAGGTTAATTATGATGAATATGAGAAAAAGTACACTGGTATATCCGAGCTATTTACAGATGAAGATTTAGAGAATATTGAGGCCAATTTACCGTTTCCTGACATCAAAGTGGAAGATGAGATTGAAGCGTCAGATCCATTAATAACTACGTGGGATTTGTTAATTAAAAAGAAAAAACAGAGTCAATACGAGAGATTGCGATTGTTAAAACACCTGAAAATGATTGAAGAATCCGTAGAGGAGGAGGATATGTTTAGTTATAAGGGAGGCAAGTCACAAAAAGACCAAACAAACGGCAAAGCAAATGAACTTTTGCTCTCAAAGAAACATATTTTGTTAAGAATGGAAGATGACAGAGAGACTCATAAGAGATCGAAAGAAAATATATGGGTTGTAAATAGACCAAAGGATGCTTCTATTTTAACGGAAGATGAATTCTTGGTTCATTATTGGAATAAATATAGAGTGATGGCAGAGGAAGAAGAGAAAACATTTATGGATAGCCTTGACGAACTCAACAGCTTGGTGGTTGAAAGTTATAAAGATAAGCAGTTTTAGAAGAAGGGGTAATTTAATTCATTTGTAAATTATGTAATTGTAAATAAAAAAAAGCTATATTAATATCTATATACAAACATATCTAGTAATTTATGCTGTGTGGCTCATATACGGATCGTTCACTGGATTTGACAATATTCCTAATAATTCGTTTTTTCCAGAAACGCTGTACGTTGCTGAAGTTCTTGAATCTGCACTGAGAACAGTAACCGTTATCACCTCTGGTATTTCACCACATCTCTCTAAACCATTTGCATATTCATAGCCCGGTTCATCAATTAGCGTAGAACCACCACTTAAAAATAAAGCCGTGACTAAGTTTTTTTGAACTTTAGAAGTAGGGCTCTTAATAGGTGGTAAGCTTGCAGTTTCAGATATGGGCGTGCTAGGTGCAGAGCCTGGAACCTGTTTAACTTGATATTCTTCTATCAATGATTCGCTTTTGATTCCCTGCTTCTTTTGGTTATAATAAGAGATAAGGAACTTCAAAGCCTTCAAAGATAATTTGTTTTTTTGCACTATTAACACATTTCTGATCAAGGTCGCATGAACACCATCTTGGTCCAGGAATAATTCATTAATATGCTGAATACAATCTCCCAAAACAGACAAACTTCTTTCACGATCATCTTCAAAAGATTTGCCAGGATGAAATCTGATTGTACAGTCTTCAACCTCCATATGAGAACCAGGTAACCTTTCTACTTTAGATGCAATTAATTGTGAAACCTGAGGCATCCAACCTTCAAGCTCTAATTCATCAATAATTGAAATCCACTTATCTGACTCTGTAAGCTTAATATAACCACCATTCTCCGCAACAAGCCCCAAATTAGGGCTTCGATTGTACAACGTATCTAAATCTGACCTTTTCAAATAACTGGTCAAGTAAACGTGGTTTAAAGGATCAGACAACAATTCATTTAGTAAGCTCACAAATCTAGAAGATTCGGAAAATGCTCCATTTTTACCAGCTGCTGCTACGGCTGATTTGGACGTAAGCTTATGAAATTTTGAACTTGGATCATTTGCTGAAGCAATAGCAGAAGGGGTATCCAAATTTAAAAAGAATAATCTTTTACCCCCATCGTTATTAGAATAAAACCTATCAAATATATCTCTTGTGAACGGAACTAATTTGTTTAAATTTCTACTATGATCATAATCCCATCCTTCATTAATACCTTGTAAACAGTTTGCAACCCAATTTCTTGAATCATGGTTACAAATGGTCTTGTAACAATTAGTCCAGCGCTTAATCTTTTCAGCTTGTCCCATATCTAACAGGACTTTAAATAATTCTGCAAATCGTTTAAGATCCCATGGATTAATCAAAATTGCTCCTTCTCCATTACAATTCAAAAGAGGTGAAGATCCTGTAAATTCGGAAAGCATCAAAGGCGACTTCTTTTCTGTGGTTGCAATTATGTACTCATGGCAAGTCAAGTTTAAACCTTCCCTCATAGAAGCAACCACAAATACTTCTGCTTCACATTGTAAAGCTACGTATTGCTCAAATCCTATATCTTGTTGCAACAACACTACTGGTTGCGAAAAAGATATATCACCTGTCAATGAATTAATTCTTCCAACAATAGACATGATTTCACTTTCATAGCTTGAATCTTGTGTTGCACCTGGACAAATTTGAATTAAAACAGTTGTATCCACATATTCTGGATTACTATGTAAAAATTTTTCATATGCTAATAACTTTTGCTTAATACCACGTAATTTTTCCAATTTATCTCTACTGACAATTAATTTCTTATTTGACCATCTTTCTCTAATCATATGCCTCCATTCATTAACCTCATTAGATCCTAAGAAGTCTTCTAACGATTTTGCATCCACGCCCACTGGGATAGTGTTAATCATTGTGAATTTGCCTTCATAAGTTATACCAAATTCGTTTGCATCTGCTAACAATAACCTGTTGCATGTTTGCCAGAAATGCCTAACATATTCATCAGTTTGAAATGTAATACAATTAGCACCCAACATCCCACTTAATATTGCCTTCCTTTGAGCAAAGCAACGAAATACTTCTGATGAAGGGAACGAGACATGTAAAAATAGACCAATTTTGGCTTCCGGTAACTTTTCTCTAATCATTTTGGGTACTAATAATAAGTGATAGTCATGAATCCAAATTATATTATTAGGATCATTAGGATCAGAAGACCCGTTTTCTTTCTTATATAAATCGACAATTTTGTCAGCCACTAGTTGATTTAATAGCTTATAATGACCCCACGAATGGTCTTCAAAAGCCTTTGATTTAGGATCATCTGGAATTTGATAGTGTAATGTTGGCCACAAAATTTGCTTACAAAATGATTTATAATGACCTTGGAAAGTTATATCATTAGGGAAAACAGCTTCACAATCGTAGTTTTCACTTAAGGAATCAGAAATACCGTTAATGACTGAATCTGGTACTGCGTCACTTGGCATAGCTAAGGTACCTACCCACTTATGGTCATTAATACCACCAGCATCAACTGCAATTTGAACTGCCTTTGTTAAAGAAACGTTACCTTTACCAGCTAATACAACTTTCCATGGCGCATCTTCAAAAATATTATCCTGATTTAGTATACCATCCTCCAAGTCTGGTTTAGAAAACCCTCCGAATGGAGTCAATTTTGATTCTGTTCTTCCATGTACCAAATCATTAAAATTCTCAATATGATCTTCATCCATACTTTTATCACTTGCATAGTCACTCTCTCGTGCTTCTTCTTCCTCTACTTCTTTGATGCGTGTAGGAATTGAATTCGAGCTACTGTTACTATGCAAGGTAAACCCTGGTTTAGAAACAGGTGTTCTCTGTCTAGTTGAAGGTACGGACATCGTAGAAGAATTAGTGGTTGGGTTTAAACCAATCATGTTAGAATAGGAACTAAATGATGAGTTATTTAAGGACGTCAAATTATTTGATGATCTGTTGATCTTCAATCCTGGGAGACCAACATCTTCATTCTTCTTCTTTGGATCTATTACCAGACTCTGAAATGCAACATTACTATACCTAGATCTTGGTTGAATCAACTTGGATCCTAGTTTATCATGCAAGTTGTCTGTTAAAATATTTTGCTTATCATTGGGTGCTCTTTTATGACTGTGAAAAAATTCCTGTGCAGAATGGACCTGATCAGTATCACTACCTGTCATTATACTGGCATTATCATTAAAAGTGGGTGATCCCGAGCGAGGTGTATGCTGCTGAGATGTGCTTAATGATGGTAAAATCGAGCTTTGCGATATGCCAGTGCCCATACCAGCTGATACACTCTTCCTTTGTTGATTTCTTGCATCATCTTGAATGTTAGGTACTGTAGCATCCTTCTGTGTTATGTCGATATCATAATCAGCTCTACCGCCCACATCGAATTTGACCGTGTAAGGCAAAAATCTATTGAAACGTTAATATTCATACTTCTTCAATTCATAAGCATTAGATGCAAACAACGTTAATCTCTTATACATACAAAGTTCCAATAATAATGGTCATTTTTAGCTTATCCAAATATCTAGTCTAGCTATTTAGGTTTCAATTCCTTATACTTATAGTAAGTTATAGGTAGAACTTTGCCTTGATTCCTTATACTGTTGCTACGGTCACGTGGTCTACCCATACATAGATGCTGTTTGGGTTATTGCTTACATTGCCAACGTAAAAACGTCCTTTGATAATGAATGGATATGTACTGTTCTTTGCGGATAGTCACTGTCATTTAGACGCAGAATGTTCATCTCAAAGAGCAGAAGAATTAGGGAAGTTTTTAAACTCTCTGGAGTCAATAATTGACCGCAAAGAGTTTTTTCATATTATGTCCTCAAATCATGTAGACATATTTCATTTAGACCTACTACTAGACAAATTAGAAAACAAGACTGTTCTCCCATATTTCGGTATTCATCCATGGTACAGTCATTTATTTACTGATCTCAAGTTGGAGGAATTTGAAAACGAACAAGAATGGAAGCAAAATCATTACGAATCAGTACTTGATCCTACACCACCGTCCGAGTTGTTAGAGGTACTACCAAATCCCATAAACATCGACACGCATGTTAAGGAGATACGCAGACTTGCTAATAAGCATCAAGAAAAGGGATTTTCTGTTGGTATTGGAGAAATTGGGTTAGATAAGCTATTTAGAATTCCACTAAACGGATATTTTGGCAATCAGAAACTCCCCCTCAATGATAATCCAAATAAGCTATCGGCCTGTAGAGTTAAAATGGATCACCAAACATATATACTTGCAAAGCAGTTAGAATTGGCTAGTAGTTTGAAAAGGCCCATTTCTTTACATTGTGTCAAGGCGCATGGTTTACTATACGATCAAGTAACTAGTAAAAAAGAATTTGATGGTATTTCTTCAGTTATACTTCATTCATACTCAGGCTCTCTCGATCAGGCTGGTTTGTGGATACGGCACTTTTCGAAGTCGAATCGACTGTTATATTTTTCGCTCTCAAATTGGATTAATGGATCGAGCAAGAAACAAGAGTCGTTAAAAGATCTCGTTAAGCTACTTGGCAATGATCAGATACTACTAGAAACTGATGTTGGTGTAGATAAATACCTACTAGATCCCGAGAGAAGAGAAGAATATTTCAACCAGCTAAAAGAAATTTTTAACAAGATATGCTCAATTAAAGGCTGGGAAGAAGATCTTGCGAAGGAGATTATATTTGAGAATTGGAATAAATCTATCGCCTAATGAAAATTGTCTTGTCTAGTAAGTATACACGTAGGTTAACGTCATAGCTACAAAAGGTGTTTTTTTTTGCAGTGATTGCTCGCAACCAAGCAAGATTCCATTCTACCGAGATTTTTGAAAAAAAATCTGGGGTTAATGGTGAAAATTTCACTATGAGAGTATTATAGAACTTACTGTCCAGACATAATAAATAAGCGTTTTATAATAGACATAAACATAAATAGCCTATAAATGAGACATTTACAATCTTGACTTGATGATGTCAACGAATTCTGGCTTTAAGGAAGCACCACCGACTAAGAAACCGTCGACATCAGCCTTATCCTTGAATTCAGGAGCATTCTTACCGTTGACAGAACCACCGTATAAGATTCTGGTCTTTTCAGCAGCATCAGCACCAATTGACTTAGATAAGTGTTCTCTGATAGCCTTGTGAGTTTCTTGAGCATCTTCTGGAGTAGCAGCTAAACCAGTACCAATAGCCCAGACTGGTTCGTAGGCAACAACAATCTTAGACCAGTCAGAGACAACTCTGGCAACAGCGTCCAATTGTCTAGCGCAAACATCTAAGGTAACGTTAGCCTTACGTTCTTCTAAGGTTTCACCAATACATAAGATGACAGATAAACCTTGGTCTAAAGCGAACTTGGTCTTGGAAGCAATGAAGTCATCAGATTCCTTGATGATGGTTCTTCTTTCAGAGTGACCAGTTAAAGTCCAGGTGGCACCTAAATCTTTGATTTGTTCTGGGGAAATTTCACCAGTGTAAGCACCAGAAGCCTTGTCGAAACAGTTTTGAGCAGAAACTTCAATAGTCTTTTGCTTGTTTTCGTTGACAGCTAAAGCAATGTATGGTGCTGGTGGAGCAATGACAACTTCAACATTTGATGGTAATTCGGCCTTGTTTAAACCATCCACGATCTTGGAAACGGATTCTCTAGTACCGTTCATTTTAAAGTTACCTCCAACAAAGAATTGACGAGCCATTTTGAATTTTATATTATTGTATTTATCTATAAAGTTTTTAATAAATCGATTGAATACCAATTGATAATGAAATAATCAGGAAAAGAACTATAAAGCAATTGACCGTCCTTTTATACGATTAAGTCCGAGACTTAGCATATTAAAAGGACGACCTTGTTCCGAGGTTTGAATTATTGATCCCGGAATCAGTCGATAGCGTGGACATAACCATCAATATACAGAATTGGGCCTTCTAATATTTTTAGTAGGATCTAAGAATAGTCGAATGATGTATATATTCGTATCTATATAGATATATGAATAAGGATATAGATATATGGATAAGGATATAAATATCAATAAATAAATAATGTAGAAAATCAATCGAGATGGTGCTCAATCTGCTTGCAAGTTCTCTACACTATTGTGCTTGCTGTTAGACACACTGTTAGCAACACTCTGATCATCAAGCGTAAACCTTGATGCTAAGGTTGACGGAGAACTAGGACTATTTTCTTTATCCTGTTGGTCTGTATTCATAGATTTTTGAAACGCATCCTTAATTTGTCGATCTTTGTACCTGGTTGATTTTATAGCATCTCGTTGGGCCCGTATGATACTGGTAATATCAAAATCTTCCGGATTGGCAAGTTTATTCTTAGTATTGAAACATACCTCATCACCAAATTCCCGTTTGACTACCTCCTCGTCGATATCACTATCGGGAAGGTCGTCCCAAGTTTTCAATGGTGTTTTCAATCTAAATTTACCCCCTTCTGACTGTTTCTTCATAATTAAGTAATGGCAATGAGGAATATTTCTCAACGACTCAAACTCTTCGTAACTCCAACGGAACCACTTCATGAGAAATACTCTGGCCCAGATACCGTGCGTTACCAAGATCAAGATATTGGGAAAGTTATCTTGTTGAAATTGGCGAAATAATGTCTCGTTAAAGCTTGCTATTCTATCATAAACATCAGCAGCACTTTCGCCATGCGGTATTCTATAGAAAAAATGCCCATAATGTGCCCTTTCCTGCCATACTTTCTCCATTTGTTCTGATGTGCTTTGAAAATTCCCAAAATCTTGTTCTCTCATCCTAGGCTCTTCGTGCACCTTGTATGTCACATCTGGGACATCTTTTATGCCGTCAATGATGTTATTACAGGTTTGCCTAGCTCGCAAATATGGCGAAGTATAAAATAGTATCGATTTAGGATTTCTTGTTTTATTTCGATCTTCGTCTTTTAGGGATACATGCTGTAAAAATTCTTTCAATACTAACCCTGCTGATTTAGCCTGGTTGTGGCCTTCATCTGTAAGGGCAACCTTGTGATTTGGTGTATATCTATTAACTGATTTATCACAATTCCCCTCTGACTCTCCATGTCTCACAAGCAAAATATACTGCTCCTGTTAGTTCCATTCCAGTAGAAAGTGATATTTATCTAAGCAAAAACACATACCTTTGGCTTTCCCATCTTTTATTCTTACTTCTTCCTTATTATGTAGAGGTATAAATAAAGCCAATCACTGTTTTGTAATTAATGATAGATGCTACATCATGTGATTTTTCTACAGAATAGAATTACTTAAAAGCCTTTTCCGTTAAATTAGTGTCTAATTCAGAAGAATTATAATATAGAGATAAATTTATATGATATAATGTGGTAAATTGTATACAATAATCAGCAATTTTAATGATAACAGTAAACATAGGTCATCTATTTGTCAGTAGTCAATTTTCTTTCGATCGCAAAGCTCTTTGTTAAGTCTTCGTCGCATCTCTTCAAGATATCATCAGCTAATACATCTATAGCGTGAGAGTGTAACATGTTATTGTATCTTGATGGTTCAGTAGGTAATTTAAATAAGGATTGCCATTCTTCGGTGTCTAATTCCTTTTCACCGCTCTTAGCTCTTTCCAAGTTGTCCAACTTTCTTTGTTGCTTCCATTGCATAATTTTACTTTGTTCTTTTTGGTGTTGTCTTTGGTAATAATTGTAGTTGGTTTGGTCGTAATTGTATGCATCTACTTGGCCATATAAGGATTCCAATAATTGGGCAGTAACATTTTGGTTGGAAGATAAGTTTAAAATGTCAAATTCATTTTCAGATTTGGTATCATTGGTAGAGGATGCCAAGTATAAGTTGACCAAATGTTGGTTACGGATTCTAATTGGAATTTCGTCGAAGATATTCAAGAACGATAATTTGTGATTTTCTAAATCCTTTGATTTCCACTTACCGTCTAAGTAGGTTCTGACAAAACTCTCTGATAATCTTATAGCCTTCAAGTCTAATTCCTTCCCGATGGAAGCCATATTGTGAATTAAAATAAATGAGTTCTTGTTGGTCAATTGTTGTTGAACTAACGCATCCACCAATTGTGTGGTAACAAAATTACCGGAAACAGTAGATTGAAACCACCCTTGGAAGCCAATACCATATCCCAACTTCTTTAACGAGTCCAATATATCTTGTTGGTATTTAGCTCCACTTCTTGAACGTAAAGACCCTCCCTCGTATTGATCTGGATATGGGTATGCATAAGCATGGGTGATATCTAAAGCACCACTGTCTGATTCAAACCCTAATAAAGCACCTGAATATAATGATGGATAGTGTTCTGATGTATGTCTGATCAATGATAAGACAACGCTTGATTCAACATCAATTGATGTTGTTGTGGGCGCTTGGTATGATTTTCTGTAATCGTTAGTATACATTCTTTCGTATTCACAATAATTATCGTTGACGCTTTAAATACATACACTTGTTTAGTAGCCATATTCATCAATTATTAGTGTTAATTACTACTATTCAACTGTTGTTACCTTCAAGTCTATGCAATTTTTTCAAACCGATGAACGAAATAAATTTCCAATTACGTAATATTCCATAAATATTAAGTAATCAATGACTCAAAATTTTTTTCAATGCTATCGGTGAAATTTACTTCAATATGACATATAAGGAAGTCTTCAAACAAATATTGAGCCATTTCAAGAGCAAGAAAACAAGCAAAATGTCTGAACAAGTTGCGAAGGTTGCTGAACAATTACAAAAAACCTATTTGGATGATGTCACCGGTGAACAAGTGTCGAAAACCGAATTAAAAAAGAGACAAAAGCAAAGAGCCAACGACGCTAAGAAGGCAGAAAAGGCTGCTAAGAGTGCTGCTTCAGCTCCAAAGGTCGCTAAGAAGAAGGATCAGTTAGTTGATTTAAATCCAAATCAATATTTTGAAATCAGATCTCGTCAAATTGACGAATTGAGACAAGCCAACCTCGCTGACGGCTCCGCTTTCAACCCTTACCCACACAAGTTCAGTGTTTCCATCAAGTTACCAGCATTCGCTGAAAAATATAAGGACTTGAAGAGGGGTGAATCTTTGAAGGATGTTGAAGTCAAGGTCAGTGGTAGAATTATGGGTAAGAGAGAATCTGGATCCAAGTTGAAGTTCTACGTTTTGAAGGGTGATGGTGTTCAAATTCAGATCATGGCTCAAGCTCAGGATGTTGAAAATGCTGAAGAATACGAAAAAATGCACGAATATTTAAGAAGAGGTGATATCATTGGTGTTACTGGTTATCCTGGTAGAACAAACCCAGCCAAGGGTGGTGAGGGTGAAGTATCCGTTTTCGCTACTTCCGTTCAATTATTGACCCCATGTTTGCATATGTTGCCAACTGAACATTATGGTTTCAAGGATCAAGAAGCCAGATATAGAAAGCGTTACTTAGATTTGATTATGAACGAATCTACCAGAGATCGTTTCAAGGTCAGATCTCAAATCATTTCTTTCATTCGTAAGTTTTTAGATACTAGAGATTTTACTGAAGTTGAAACTCCAATGATGAATGTTATTGCTGGGGGTGCTACTGCTAAACCATTCATTACCCATCACAATGATTTGAACATGGATATGTTCATGAGAATTGCGCCAGAATTATTCTTAAAGGAATTAGTTGTTGGTGGTATGGATAGAGTCTACGAAATCGGCCGTCAATTTAGAAATGAAGGTATCGATATGACCCATAACCCAGAATTTACCACTTGTGAATTCTATCAAGCTTATGCCGATGTTTATGACTTAATGGATATGACTGAATTACTTTTCTCCGAAATGGTTAAGGAAATTACTGGTGACTACAAGGTTACCTACCATCCTGACGGTCCAGAAGGTGAAGCTTTGACTTTAGATTTCACCAGACCATGGAAGAGAGTCAATATGATCGAAGAATTAGAAAAGGTTTACAATGTTACCTTCCCAGCTGGTGATCAATTGCATACCGAAGAAACGGGTAAATTTTTGAAGCAAATCTTAATTGACCACAAGTTAGATTGTTCTCCACCATTAACCAACGCTAGAATGTTAGATAAGTTGGTTGGTGAATTAGAAGACGCCTCTATTAACCCTACTTTCATTTTCGGTCATCCTCAAATGATGTCCCCATTAGCTAAGAAAGATAGAAAACATGTTGGTTTATGTGAAAGATTTGAGGTTTTCGTTGCTACTAAAGAAATTTGTAATGCTTACACAGAATTAAACGATCCATTTGATCAAAGACAAAGATTCGAAGAGCAAGCTAGACAAAAGGCTCAAGGTGATGACGAAGCACAAATGGTTGATGAAACCTTCTGTAACGCTTTAGAATACGGTTTACCACCAACCGCTGGTTGGGGTTGTGGAATTGATAGATTAGCCATGTTCTTAACTGACTCTAATACTATCAGGGAAGTTTTGTTATTCCCAACTTTAAAGCCTGATGCATTCGTTAAAGGTGAGGAGACGTCTGAAAATTAGTTTCATTTAGTTTATAGATTTAGCGCCATAAATTGTTCTTAATATTGTCACACAACTATTTAGTTGTTAGTATAAAATATATATTATTCTGAGACACGTATTTGTACGATATATGAAAAAAAGCTATTATACAAGAAATAAACAACAACGGACTTCATCTTCTCACCAAATCACCTCTTCTCTTCATCTCTAATGCTTTTTTATAAGG